TTTAATACGATTTAAACGATTTAAGATAAACGAGATTAAAAATTACCTTTCTCTTTACACGATGATATCTCGGAAACCGGAAATCGTATCGGGATAAACGAAGAGGCATTTTAAAAGGAAAGGTTTTTTGAGTTTCTAATGATCTTTCACTCATTGATTACGGAGCATTATCTTTGGAGTTATACCGGTTCAAAGTTTTGATAAATTTTAATCGAGTTTTAAGGTAATCTACGTTAAATATATTTAATTCGATCAAAATATTCCTTACTTATGATATATTGAAACTCTAAATTGATTAAAAGAGTTTTTTAAAGTTTTTTATCTAATCGACTGATATATCGATTATAAATATAAAAGTAACAAAATATATATATATACATAATAATTTCTTTAAACTTCATCCATCCTCGTTACAACTCTAAAAATTCCTCAAGTTTCATATAATTCAATATTAATACATTCAATTTCAAATGCCTAAATTACAAGTTTTCAACAGCCTCGAACAACTTAACCGGTTTAAGTGTAACAATAGAATTAGGGCCGAGCAACAATACTCTGCCATCTTAACGACGACGAGGGCGAATCTGCGGTTATTGTTTTGCAGGGGTTTGCATGTGCCAAGCCGCTTGCTTGCGCTCACTTCGGGTTTTTCCAGCAAAACCCTCTTCTGAACGAGCCACCAGCGAAATACATCGGCGGCCAACCGACACCTCTTATCCACCAACACGCTCGGCTATTCTATTAAACAGTATGGTAACAATATGGTAATATCTAGTGACGGGACTAAATACATCGCGAGTAGGTTCATTAGACATTTACAATCGAAATTTGCAATAAGTAAAACCGAACTTTGCGTAAAACTTTATTAATTGAAACTTTCGAAACTTTCATCGATATCCGTCTAAGTGAACTCTACGTAAACTCTTGTTATCTAAACTAAATGGTGAAAATAAGCTTCTCGGTGAATTGTGCTCTGAAGAATTGTTGATGGATTTTTTTTTCTCTCTCTCTCTCATCACGAACGGAACAAGAGAGAAAGATATAAATTCGTTTCACTTTGAATTTCATTCTGTAATTCTGAAGTCTATGAGAATCAAATAAAGGATCGTTCGGTTTGATTTACGAAAGTACACTTGATCCCATCGCTATTTCGTGCGCCGTGAAAAATGAGTAACGAGGATGATATCTCTGGTCTGGCTTGTTATTATGCAATAACTTGCGAGCCATCGAATGCAAGGGGATGGAAAAGAAGAAAAAGAGGGCGAAAGAAAGCGAGGTCTAAATGGTGCCAAGCGAACGTCTCTATCGAGACGCGACTATCTGAATATGCATGTATTCGTGCGTGCGTGCATCGAACGAGGCGGTTGCGTGGGTATGATTGCGTATGAAGGCAAAAATGATGATGCAGTAAAGTGATTGCACCGTAAGCAAGTGTTTTCGGCTGGGTTTATGATTATCTGGTGGAATGGAAAGTTTTGATTTCGGTGAGAACTTGTAGAACTCTCTCGGTTGGATTGCTTGGTTTAATAATTCTCACTGTTTTGGATTCGTGCGTTTGTTGTTAAAAATTTTTTATTATCATTTTTATTATTGGTACAGTGAAAAGTATATGTTTTCTATTTGGATTATCTTCTTCAATTTGCTTGTTAAGGTGTTTCACAATTATTTTTCAAATTTAATGAAATTTAATATTTACGTTGATAGGAATAAAAATTAAATATTGAATATATTTATTTATTTCAATGTACAGTTGCAAACGATTATGTTGCTACCAGTGTGCAACAATTAGTACTCTCTCTACGTGTGCAAACAACGGAATTACATAGTTAAATTATTTTACACGAACAAACTTATTTTGCACAAATAAATAGATTCGAATGGTGCAGATAAATTAACAAGGAACGAAACAGCAAGATAAACCTGGTGAATGACAACACGCTTTGAAACTAATTTCATTTGTTACTTCAAAATTCTACTTCTGAAACTATTTAACTATTTAATGATTTTATGTATAGAAAATTTGAATATAGGAAAATGATACGAGATGCGCACGACATTCTTTCCTTGTTTCCTTTTCCTTAATCACATTGATTTGATCTTTTATAAAAATCCGCACTTGGTTAAAAATTATGCTCCAAACCTTGTTATTATTACAATTTCTCGTAAATTTTCAACTCATAAAAAAAAAAAGAAAAGGCAAAACAACTCCCTAATCAATTCCAAAACGTCTCTCGTCTTCTCCAATTCTTTTTAAAAGGAAATCGATCGAACGAAATGATTATCAAAGCGTTTTCTTTATTTATTTATTTTTTTTCCCCCAAATAAAAATCGAATCTCCGAGATTGGACAAGGAAATCTCGCGCGTTTAACGATCCCAACTCTTTCCCCTTCGAAGGGGATTGCCCCCATTAGCGCCGAGAAATCCTTGGAGAAGCTCTTGGCAAATCTCTATCGCGCCCGGCCACGAAATTTCGATCGAGGGCCGGCCGTGCATAAATTCCAGGGGATATTATATTATCGTATGACGAACGCACGAACACCATCTCCCCTGCATTCCTTATCAACTGCACGCAACGATTTGATCGTTGCGGAATACTTTAAATGCATTGTGTCGTGCGTGAGAAAGTGGAGGGAGAAGCCGTTACTTTTATTCGCGCCATTATTGATCGATGGCTGTTTTGGATAAGATTTTATTATTGAATTCGCGTGGGATATTTTCTGTGCGAGTTAAAAAAATTATATTCGTGGAAGGGTTTTTTTTTTATTTTCAAGATAATTGGTTTTTATTTAGTGCATCAATTTGTATAGATATTTTTTGTTAAAGAAGTAGTCGAATTTTATTTATTGAAAGAAAAAAACCATATTGCAAGTTAGAATATCTTTTTGAATGGAAAATTAATTCGACTTTTGTTTTTGCTGCAAGCAATGTTAATGTTTGAAGATGAATACGGATAATAGATTAATTTGTGGAATTATTGGAATTATCGATTCTAGGGATTTTTATTCATCGCGAACGTTTTTTGAGATTGCAAAAAGCGAATAAATTAGCGGAATGAATTAGCAGGGGATAATCGATTTAAACATTTTTGTGTATTAATATCGAATCTGAAAAGTCATCTTGCTGAATATAAGTTGGATGAATATTTTAAGAGAAATTAACCCCTTGAAGATTAATTCAACTTTCTCGGTAAAATATCTTCTCTAGCCTCTCATTTCGATAAAGATGCCACTTCTTGTTATTCTATTTTACACTCTATGCTTCTTCATTATTTCTTCTAGTTACTTACAAATTCCATTAGCGTTACAATATTCACTTTTATCTCGGGAAATATTCAAATGTACGATTGTTGTTGCCCCATTTCCTATTCACAGATAATTTTTTATTAAGCGAATTTTAAAACAGGAAATGAATCCAATGTTGCGAAGGAGTGCAGAGAAGGTACATTAAAAATGCCAAAGTCTCCAAAGTCGTTCTTTTATTCGTGCAAAAAACGTGCTGTTTGATGTGAATTAAAATTTATGTTACTTGCTTACTTCGAATATTATGAAAAAAAAAAATGTTTTATTAGTTTTTATATTTTCAATTCGTTAATCAATGTACGTATATTTCAGTGGAATTGAATAACAATATAAAAGCAAAAAAAAAAAAAAAAAAAACGTTTTACGAGAAAAATGCCAATTTTAAACATTTTCTATTTAACATTTTATGGGTGTATGGGGTAAATTTTTATTTCGATGTAAAATAAATTATCAAAAGGATATTTCTGTTATTTCGCAAAATTAGTTTACATTCAACATTTACGTTTCATACACGTAAATTTCCATTTCGACAAAAAATAAAATGATTCTTGAAAATCGTTTTGTTACTTAAATGGATTTTTGGAAATAAAATATTATTCCTATTCAATGAATAACGGTTAACACATTGGGTGGAGCATTAAAAGTGGGTAAGCAGCATTGGCCGTTATCGCCAACACGGATTTTCAATCTTTTCAAATCTCTGTAAAAATGAGGAGAAAATTCATTGGACCATTCACAGATAAAACGAATTGTCCCGTAGATAGCATAAAAAGTGGTGCACAGCTTCGAGGGGAACAGTGTTAATACTTATTTATACAAATAATACGATAAACAAATCAGAATATTATCTTTTAATTTATATCTCAAAATTGGGAGAACAGAACAAAAATTTATTATTCAATCAATATACAAATTGAGACACGTGTTTCTTTCCCCTTCTTTTTATGTATCATTTAATAGAGCATTTTATATTTAATGAATTACGATTCAAGATCGTTCAAATTCAAAGAAAGATCAATAAGTATATTTATTTATTAAATAACAAACAAAACTTCAATTGCTTTAATTACTTCAAACTCTATATATATTAATACTCCATTAATTGTTCCCGAATGCAATGATATATTTTTTCAAGACTTTCGAACGTTCAAAATCCGTAAGCATAAACATCCGAGAGAAGAGAAATATAGAAAACTGGTGGTGAATATACGCGATGCAATCTAATCAAAAATCCACGGGTCGAGATCTCTTCAATTACCCTTCGGATAGGAGGAAGGAAGGAGTAGGCACGGACTGCCAGCAAACGAGGATCGGGGCCGCTTGTAATTGCAAATCCTAACACGACCCGATACAACCCGTGTTATCTCTAATAACAGAACTGTCATGCATCAAACTTCTCCACCTGGCGCACGCGATTCCGATCTTCGAGGTCGAGAAACAGGCGTATCTCTACATATATATATATAAAACCATAAAACTGGACGGTCATCAACGTGGTTCAGAGGCAACGTGGTTCGTCGAACGCTTAGTTCCAAATGTTGGTGTGCACACGTGGTGACTCCGGGATAATTGAACGATTAAGGGAAGCAAGTTAACCCTTTCGAGCAATCCGTGGGAAGGGGAAGGAGGGAGAGGACAAGATGAAGAAGCGAGGCGAACGAAAGAGGCGGGATCCTCCGCCAATTAAAAAGTTTGATTACCTTGCGACGAGTGATGTTGAACTCACGGTTGCAGCTCTTGCAGTGGGTGACCAGCCGATCGTTCGCCCAGGTCGCCGCGCCCTCCTGCTGGTGGTGCTGTTGAGCGTTGTCAGCGGCCTCCCTTAATTCGACGGCCGCCAATTTCGCGGCGCTCAATTGTCCCCCAAGTTCCTCCAGAGTTCTCTCCTGCTCGGTGCAGATCTCCCTCAGCGCGTAATGCTCCTCCTGCAGGGCCAGGTATTTCTGTAACACACGCGAGGAGGGTGACATCTGGAATTGCATCACGTGTTCTTGGAACTTTGCCTCTCTTTCTCTCTCTCTCTTTCTCTCTGGACAACGATTGTTAGTCGAGCTGTCGCCGGCTATTAGGCGAAAGATTCGATTGCAGGGGCTGGAGAAAGTTTGGGGAGATTGATAGAGACGTGGGGGAGAAGAGGGGAGAGGGGCGAAAAATCGATCAGGGAAGTAATGTATTGTTTGGAAGAAAATGGACGGTTGGAAATATTTAAAATATAAAGTTTTCATAAGGAACAAAGTTTCAAAGGTAATAATTAAGCATGAATGTTTTATATTGTGATATTCTTTGTTTTTTGGGGGGGGAGGGGAGGAGGATACGAAATAAATTAGTTGGAAAGTAGAAAAATGATTGAAAATATTCCTCTATGGATGAAGATCAATCAGTGTAGATAGATTTATGAATGTTTTTATATTATGTGTTTTTCTGGATTTGAATGAAAAATTTGAAGGTAGAAAGATAATGTGACATTTTAGAGGAAAATTGAAGGTGTTCTATAGATGACCAATCTGTGAGAATATTGGATTCATAAATGTGTTTTACGTTCTGATATTCTTTTAGAAAAAAATTATTTTTATTTCTCTTTTCTGCGTTCATTTTATTCTCTTTAGTCAAAAATAATATTCTATTTGGAATTTTTTAATAACCTAAAATATCTTGAGATATCTTGCAATATTTGAAATTCCATGCATATTTCATGTAAAGATCTAGAACTTGAGGTTTTTAAAGAGAATAACATATCAACGAATTTAAAAGAAAAGTATATGAAATTTATTAATACAAATAATTTTTCAAACATATTAAAGTATGATTCGATATAATATAAAATACTATATCATTTATATATTATTTTATTGAAAAAAAAATAAAATAAAATAAAAGTCAATTCCCTTTAAAAAGCTAGCAACAGTATTTCATTTATTCTGTAAAAGACCTCAATTGAATGTTTTAAAAAATAATTCTGTTTTCATCTTGATAAAATATCGATCAAAGAGAACTTGCAAAATTACTTTTAATTCTTTTAACATTAGAAACCAATTTTTTCATATTTTTTTTATCATTAACACTAAAACTGTCAAACCAATCGAATTAATTGATTTTAGATCTTTGCATTTCTGCAATTATCAAAAAAATATACTAATTTTATGCTAAATTATTTTCGAAAAACTAATATTGATTCTTTTCAGAGACATGATTATATCCCATTTTAATTCAACTTGGACACATTGAGATACATCAGATATTGAACTTCTAATCAAATTAAACCAATCAAAAAAAAAATGAGTATATTTCACGTTGACCTTATCTCGACCTTATCGAATCAAGAAAATCTCAATTCCTTGGCAAAAAAAAAACACAGACTTGTTATTCTTATCAATTTTTCGACCTCTCTATTTTAAAACAGAACTTCCATAATTCTAATAATTCCGTAATCACACACGTATAATATTATTTTGGTTCTAACAAAATTAAAATTCGACAAAGAGAAAGAAAAAGTTTCACAAAATATAATAATATTATATCGTAACATTCTTTTCGATCTCAAAGTTTGGCCATCGGAATTTATTTGAAATATTTGGCAAAGTTGATAGACAGACGTACCTCGGACACCCGCCTCAACTGATCGATTTCATGATGTAATTGAGAGATCTTCTCCGCGTTAGAGATCGATGCTTCCTGCAAGGAGGTTCGCCATTCTCGTTCGAGTCGCAATTCCCTCTCGACCCCATTCGCCCTCGCCTCCCTCTCGGCGGCCTCGGCCCCCAAAATCTTCACCCTCTCCACCGCTCCTGACTTCACGTCGTCCATTTCCTTGCACCTGATTAAGTCAAATAGCTGACACTCGAAACATCGTGCCGCTCTTCGTACGAGATGCAAAGACAATTTTCGAGAAAATTTACGTACGCGCGAGGGCTGATGGTTCGTGAAAAATTAAAAAATTAAAAATACGTAACGAGGCGAGCCAATGTGATTTTTTAAATCATTTTCACGGAACGAGATGGATTAATTTTGTATCGTTGCGTGAAAGATTTAAGAGAAAGGTGGAATCTTTAATAAAGAGCAGAAAAAAAAAAGAAAGGAAAAGTGTTTTAAAGTGACATCTGCGAGACCAAGTTAACATTTAAGAAGAGAGATATTGATCTCTTGATTAAAAAATAATATGTATATATACGTGTGATGTAATATAAAATATTAAAATCTGTTTCAATGGAAAAGATGGAATAATGAGAGATTGCATGGCGCGTATATAACGAATTATTTTTAATGGAAAAACGATCTCCTTTATCAAGGAATCCATATTGAAGGCACTGCCTTGCGATCATTTAATGGCGACATTATTTACGTAACGTAATTATTAATTAAACGATAAGGGGATACGATTCGATGAAAGTTTCGCAGAATTCTCCGTTATGTTATTTCGAGAGATTATTCCGGGGGGGAGGAAGCGATGCAAAAAGGATAAATTATTATTACAATAACCGATACAGGCCAACCATCCGTTTAGCGAGGAAAATTCATTTGGCTGTTTCCAACCGGCGTGAACAGTTTCGAGTTTACAGAAATGATAAGCCTCGAAGCGGAAAGGAAGTTACAAAAGCAAAGATCTGTAACTTAGTTCGAGGTTAGTCCTCTCGTTCAAACTTTCAGCCATGATTATTCATGACTGAATACCTTCATCCGGCCGAAGAAACAGGCGGGTTGTTTTTTTAACGGCTTTATGCCGCGATCCCCGAGCAAATTTAACAGAACTCTCTACTGCTCTACTATATTCTTCCCTCCAATTCGATCTTCGCTCGACTTACCTTTTTCTCGATTTAACTCGATATCTCGAGAAAAAATAATAATAATAATCTCTATTCTTTCATATCTATGTGAAAGCGAGCAAAACTTGTCGCGAGCGAGATTCAATAATGAAAAAAAAATAAAAGAATTGGACTACCTATGTGGACACATCCTTCATAAGTTTGTAACCAACTTTCTACTAGGAGCACAAAGAGAACGTGTTACACTTTCGACTCAAGCGATAGATTTAAGCCAATAAGTCTTGCTAAAACTGGAACGCTATTGCATACATCATACAAGATCCAAAATGACTATTATTAATAATTCTCTAACTAATACTAAATGCATATATATATACTAAAAAAACTCTTGTTCATATATATATATATAATTTCCATCATTGTGGAAGACTATTAATGTATTTTTGAAAGATTCTAAGAAATTAGAAATCGTATATTTTACTCTTTACTTTATTTTAATCTTTATATACAACGTTTTGAAAAAATGTTCTGACTGAATACATTAAATATAATAAAAGGAATTAAGCTCGATAAGGCATCGATCGAGCTTCGAAACCATCCGTGCACCGCCTTATTATTATAGTACGACAAGATGATGATCTTGAGGGTAATTAAATGGTAAGAAAAAACTATCTATCTTCTGTCATGAATTTATTTTCCGCTGCATTGATATACAAGCACACAAGTGTCTCGGTGCATTATAAAGACCATTGCTCGATGCTTATACATAATTATATAATTTATATAAAGATAGTGTTGGTAATATGGCACGTTTGCTTTTCGTATGTGTCTCGATGAACGTGATCGACACAAACATGTTTACGTACGTGTGTCTGTGTATATAACGACGAGGAATATATATTATATACATATACACGATCGAGAAACAATTTGATTCGATATAAAAGCAAATATAAAGGTTGAGATTGTTGAGGAGAAATAATATAAGCAGATATTAATGCTTGGGAGCAAGATGACGAGTAAAAATGATCGCAAGTCAGTTCCTGTAAAATTCATCCTGATTCGTTACACTAATTGACCAGATACCACCAATTTCATCGAATATCGAGCATAATTAAGAGAAAAAAAAGTTATACTTCGCGCACGAGCAAAGCAAGATCAACGATACGAAAGATCGACACATCTCTATCTGATAGCATTATCGATATTATTCTCGTTATACTCGAGGTATAAATCTACCGATTATTGCGTGAAACATGAATATAAATATAACATTAATATTTATATATTATACGTACTATATGATACAGGCTGCTTCAGAAATGGGCAACCAAATTTTTCTACTCTCCTTAAATGAAGAGTATTTTTAATAACAAGTCACACATATGATATAAGTACGAAAATTCTTCGTACTCGAATCAAAGGTTTAGATAAAATTTCTGATTTATCTTGGTCACGCAGATAGATACTTATTCTTCTAATAGCAGTAATTTCTACTTCTATGAAATTTCGATCTTTAGGAATAATAACAAGAAAGTTTGGCTATCCATTTCTGAAATTGCCTTGTATATAAATAATATATATATATATATATAGAATTAATAATCTTAAATCGAGTAGCCTTTGAGTGAAGGTTTGCCAACATCCCCGTTAACGATAATCTCTACTACGTTTGCCTTGGCTAATCTACTCTAAGTCAGATCGCGTTCGCGAGACGCCTACGTAAAAAATAAATCACCTCTAACTCTACAGCCCTCGAGCGTTTATATTGTTCATCGTTTCTCGATGTTGTCTCGCATATCATAATCGTCGAACAAATCGACGATCTATAGAAAATTTGTTATCACAACGACTAGGTTTCTTTTTTATTTTTTATTTTTTTATTTTTTTTTTTGTACGTAAATCGCTAAAAACGATAATAAAGGTGATATTTTAGTAAGTTCTTCCTCTCTTTTTATTTCTTTCGTTCTTTTTCTTTTTTTTTTTTTTCTATCGTTTGTTATCGGTAATGTTCCTCCTCAGGGATGAAGATGAAGAACAATGAGAGACTCGGTGAGATTTTTTTGTCGAATTAGAAGCGTTAGAGGATGGAATGATGTCATTCGTAAGAAAGACTTTGGTAAACTTGTTTGAAATTCTTTTTTTTTGTCGATATTAGGTCAATCTTTTTGGTTATTAAAGGGTATAATATCAACCCTTAAATATTTTATCGGATAATTATAAGATACGATTATAACATATTATAAGGAGGAATTTATTTTTCTTTAACGTTCATAATTCTGAATATACATCATACTTTTATCATTTTTTCATTATATAATAAACAACTCAAACATAATACTTTTTATTATATTTAAAATGTATTTAAGGGTTAATACTTCCAATATTGATATATCCAATCCAGCCAGGACAAACAAATTTTTCAAGGGAGAAAAATTGTCTGAAATTGTTTCGAAATTATCGAAGCGTAAGCACCAAAGCCTTCCTCGTTGGTTAGTCGCGCTGATGATTCGAAGCGAACATTTCAAATGTTGACAAAACAAAATTTTACAACGATGACGCGAAGCACACGAGTATATAACCGGAATGCGACACGAATTCTACACGATAGAACGTTTATTATTGACTTTGATATAAATCAGCTCGATCTAACGATATAATCTAGAATACCGAATCAGTCGTGCTTACAAATTAATTAACACTAATGAAAGACAAATTAAACATACTTCTCATCCATTTTCTGGATGGTCTCAGTCATCGATAGCGTCTTAGCCTCCAATTTAGTGATCAGTTCTGTTTTATGCTTAAGCGAGCCTTCGCACTCCTGAAATAAACTATGTTTCAGTAAAAGAATCGTTTCGTTCTATCTCACTACTCGCTAAAGGAGCAACCCTGAAATTCGCACACAATTCTTACATAAAATGTTAAATGTTTACACAGCTGCAAACTCGCAATTTAAACAAGTGAAACCAAGGAAAAAAAAAAAATTCCTTCGAAGAAAAAAAGAGATTCGTAACTGAAAAATCATGCAATGTACTTTTAATCTCACTCGATGAACGTGATCTCGATACGAGCTCGACATTAATTAATTTGTCAGCTGGTAGATCATTTGCAGCAGTGCCAGCTTTAGAAATTTGGAAATGAATGAATGAAGAATTAGTGGAGATGGGGGTTATTAAAATTATTGGATACTATTAAAACGCGCTGCTGTATGAAAAAATTAAATCTCTTCTGTTAAATATTCAATGATAAATTGTCTATTAGGAAGATGCAATGCTACCAATGTGACAAGATAATTAACATTTCGATAACAAAATACATCCGCTTTGGATTGAAAAGATATGTGCGAGACACTCTACAAGGATAATAATAATCATGATCAGAATGGAAGGTTATGAAACCAATTGCAAAGATAATGGAAAAAGAAATGTACGTCTATCAACATTATTGTCCTCGGTAGTAGTAGTAGTAGTAGTTCCATGCAGATGATAACAGCAATTTTATTATTATTAAACAGCGTAAACTATGCCGTAACAGAGCACAGTTAATTCCATAGAGTGTCTCGATCGAAACACACCACGTTAAATGCTGTATTGAAAGCCTATCGATGCATGAATAATGCTAAATAATTAATTATCGGATATTCGTTTTAAATATTCTACGCGTTTTAGATATATATATATATATATAAAGTTCTGTCCTGTGAAAGGTCTAAGTGATATTTTGATATAGCGTTAAATGTATAATAGCAGTGCTTCTGAATGATCCAACAACATTTCAACGATTAATTATCAATAACAACCACATAAACGTTAATTTTTCTTTTCTCCGTGCATAATCATGTTAACATTTATGCATATTTAGGCTTCGATTGCATTATACACTATACAATATTTTATATATATATATCCATTGACTTGAATAACACTCAAGCTCTTTCCAAGTCTCAACTTATTTAAAAAGCTACTATATAATTAAAAGTTATAATATAAAAATTCATATGATAAAAATATGTTAGAAGAAAGGAAGAAAATTTAAAATAATATTATAATACAAAGTATAACATCTATATATATATATATATATACACATATATGGAGAGTTTTCAAAATGTCATTGGTCATATCAGGAACACCTTTTCGTATAAAGAATTAAGACTGTCTTTCGAATAGACGCTTTCGATATTATTAAACTCGAGATATTAAACGTAGTGATAGAAGATGCATAGTATAAAAACCATTTCTCTAAAGACAATGTTTATCTTATGCGGTTGATCGTTCCTCTCCTGATTCCCCCACGGAAACCTCACCGTTACTCTGCTCTTTGCTGTCAGGCTTCGTCGCCTTGCACTTGGCGCCATTCTGTCGACCGTCGACCCTCGTCTGTTTGTTATTATTAGGAGAATCTAATTGCTTGCTAACCACAGACTTTTGTTGAACGTTATTCGATTGTTGGTGATTGTTAATGGACGATACTTGTTGATTATTAACCGACTTTTGTAGATTGTTAGCCGACTGTTGCTGATTATTCGACTGAGGATGTTGCTGATAATCAACCGCATTGTCAGTGTAACATCTGGGCGAGGTGGGGCTGGTCTTATTTAGAATCGATTTCGAAACACTGCTCGGTGTCGTCGGGCTACGAATATTCTCCACCTCCTTTTTCATGTGGTTGCACTTCTCGAGATTATTCAGGATCTTGCCTATTTGATTCGTCTTGGCGTGGAGCCGGCTCACCATTTCGCCTTTCTGCGTTAGTTCGTGCTCACATTCCTATAATGGAAATATTCCCAGAAACAAGGAATTTCGAATGCCAACCCCCGACCCCCAGCTTGACAAAGGGGAAGCATAAACTGTCTGAGTGGTATATGTATGTTCAAAGTTGGCTAAAAAATCTGAAAAGCTGGATTAAAAGCAGAAGTGGGAAGGGGAGAGCGCAATATCCAAGTGAGGTTGGAAGAACACATAAATTAGAAGAAACACAAGTTAAGTGGTAATCGCGACGAGGATCTGCCTCGTGATCGAAAAATCTACGATTCTTCTTATGTATAAGGGGGGGGGAGGGGAGGGGAAGAAAAAAGACATGTACGTATGATCGCACTATGAAGCATCCTTCGTCGCGATTAACGGGTGAAAAGGTATACTAATGATCACCTGTAGCTTTTTATACATTTCCAAGTTAATTAATTTGATCTCGTCGAGTTGTCGCCGCAACGATATAATCGTGTCTTGTTTCTCGTGAATATCTTTCTCCAACAGCTTCATAGCCACTTCCATTTCCGACTTCATACTCATCTGCCCAGAAAAAATTAAAACCGGTCATTCCCTTCCTTATTATTACAATTAATCTCCAACAATCTTTAATTCATATTTCAGAACAGGGGATAACAATAGGATGATAAAAAAACGATAGATATAGGCCGATCCACCTGCAACTCTAACTCCTTCTCTACATCCTGCCGCATTTTCTTTTCAGCCTCTAATCTACTTCTCAACTCCTCGATTTCCGTGGTCGTTTCAGTGATTTTGATCGGTGGTTTCCCATTCTGAAACCAGAGAAACCCTTTTTTCACCTTTTGAACTGTCAATCTGATCAAAAAAAAAAAGGAAGAAAATGAAAAGGGAAACGAAGAGGGAAACGAGAGAAACGAAACGTATCGTACCTCGTTCGTGTCTTTGATCTCGATTCCTAACTCTTTCTTCAATTGTCTATTCTCCTCGTGAAGGGACAATATGTTATTTTTAGCGATCGAGAGATCCTCCTTCATAAGAGCGTTCGTCGTTGTCAATGATTCCACTTTAGCTTGAAGGTTGGTCACAGTCGCGCTGAAATCGATGATGATACAAAAGGAATCATCGAATCGTCCGCGTGTACATATATATACATGCGGGGGAATGTATAGTTACTTCAAGTGGCGGTTCAGCTCCTCGATGTAATTCTTCTGATCGAGCACGGTGGTCATGTTGTCATTTTCCAGCTCGTCGTCCGGGGATTCGCCAGGTATATGATTGCTGTTCCGCAGATACAGTGAAAAATCGATCACCCCTTGTTGACAATCGAGGTCTTCCTCCTGTCCCAACAACAAGTTCCCCCATTCAGTTTCTATTCCATCTTGTTCGAGCAAACACTCTGCGACAAAGTGGGGGGGGAGGAGGGACTGACCTTTACGCAGAAATTGCAATCGATCACGTTCAAACCAACCAACAGGCCCATTATAACGATCGCCTCCTCGCTCATCATCAGAGCGTCAGGCTCGAAATACTCGGACAGTATGTCTTCTTTGTGATCGATCAAAACTTTCAAGTAATCCGCCAACTTTTTCTGCATTAACGCCATGCGCAACCACGCTCTTGCCCTACCCATGGCAGTCCTGGAAAGGTCAATCCGGTCAACAAGACCCGTCCAATTCGACGTTGCGGCTGATTTTTTTTCTTTTAAACGCGTAACGAAAATATAAATGTCAGAGTTTAACAGTTTGCAAAAGAGAATCGAGGAGTTTTATTTTAAAAATAAGATTCGATTGATCTCAAGTTGAATGGAGGATGATTAATTTTAAAATAATATATTCTGTCGTTGAAAAATCTCTGGAAGAAATGATACGTTATTTTATATATATATATATATTTCATTTTTAGGTAAGATTTGCATTGGAAAGATTTGCGGTGTAAGGGACGAATATTTATAATGGATTTAAAAATTGATAATTTTCGAGGGGTGGGGGGGGGGGAATGGATAAAGACAGAAAGGGGAATCGAATTATAATACCTAACAGTGGGTAGATCACGAATACTGGACGTAATGTCCTGCGCTTCGGGGCAATATTTCTCAACGAGCTGTAGTATATCCCAAAGCTCCTTCTTGGGTCCAAGGAGACCCTGAAATCGAAGGCAATTAGCGCCAATTTCCCAATTGTTTTTTCATATTTTTTTATATAAACTCGAAGGTACATGGTTTACCTTCTTTGGTCGCAAACCATGCCTAAGCACGTGTTCAAGAACGATGAAGAAATGTTGCAATGGCATGTGATCAGAGTCGAGCATTCGACCGTACTTCAAAGACGTTTCGATCAGCTCCTTCACGATTAATTTCGAGATATTAACGAGGTTACTCCTCTCGATGATGACCGGATCTCGTGCTGCAAAAACAACATGTTCTTGTTCCAATTCGAATCGGCAAATCATATGTATATGTGTGTACACGTGTGTATCTTCGTATTCATTGGTAATAATCGCTGATTTCATCCGTGTTCTCTTCGTTGAAAATTTAAATTAAAAAAAAATAAAAAAAATAAATTATTCTTCTCGAAAGCATGAAGATGATGATACGAATGCGAGTATCGGCGAAGCGCAACGAAAAAATATTAAGAAAGAAAAAGTTGCGCTAATAAAAAAAAAAAGAAAAAAAGATTTCTGTTACAGATATAGAAATAGTTTAGTTAGAATTAGAATTATGGATTTTAGAAATCGCGAAGTGAATGTAAGAAAAGAAAAAAGAACAGACAGAGATAAGATGATAATCTCACATCGAAGGAAATTGATTCCAGTTTAATAAAAATTAAAAATTAAACAAAAAAATCTTCTATATAAATATCTTATAATTCTCAGTCAAAGATTTCTTAATGAGGATAATTAAATTGGAAAAAGTGGAACTTGAATAAATTAAAGATTTGTCTTATCCATAAACATCTGCCAGATAATCATAATCATTTTAAAATGTCGAATAATTTAGAAATTATTGAATTTAATTAAACTCCACATTCACGTTAATTACGATAAATAATTGACTCGAGCCGGAATAAATTTCCCTTCCCCCAAAAAAACTTGATCTCGTATCAAACGAAATCAACTACAAACCAAAAAAAAAAAAAAAAAAAAGAAAAGAAAAGAAAATATCAAAACTCGAACTCGTCCAAGTCGAAATATATACGATACTGGTGCAATAATAATAAATCGTTGTTTCGTAAAATAAACGTTAGTCGAGGAAGAAGTGAAATGAACGAAGCGAGTAGTGCAAGAACATCGAGTACAGACACAAGCTGGAAACGTGCTGCAATGGCGGTGGGCTTGACGGCATTATATCGCGAAGCTCTCGCTGATCGGGAAGCTGTTGCTGTTGGCGATGATGATCATTATGGTGATGATGATGATGATGATTAATACCACTTAGCGCAAGCGGTGGCGAGGGAGATCGTTGAATCGAGTCGTGCAACGAGAACTCGACGTCCTGAAGCTCTTTCAGGCACAGCCACTCGCCGTCCACCGACACACGGAAGTTGCACAGGTATATAGTATCCTGGGCGCCAGCCATGTCTTCCTCAAGCATGACACCACCGTGATGCACACCGTGGTCACCCGCTGGTCTGATCTTCAGACCGTTCTGGGATTCTTGCCGCATAGAAGAAATCGTAACAATGGATCCCTTTAAGCTACTCCTCGCACGGAGTACTTGTACTTTGGATTAGTGACTGGAACTGGTCTCCTCTATCGCTATCGATCGAACCCCGGTCAATGTTTCTGTTCTTTTCTTTCCGATTTTATATATAACTTTCGAAAAAATATTCTCGAAAAAGAATGATATTTTGAGCTCTGTGATGATTCAGAGTTATTTGATTACTTTACTGTTATCTCGATGATCTTCCTCGCACTCCGATGTCCCAGTTCGATCGTTTCTTGGTAAAAGTTTTGCTCTTGAGAATTTCAATCAGCTGACTCGATGCGTTTCATTGGTAATTTTGGTTGGTGTATCAAACGACGATGATTATGTGTTTAATTATTGACCACTGTATATATTTACACGAATAATAATTGTTTTTAAGAAGGTTTAAAAAGTTAGTAAGTTGTTGGGATGTTTGCTCGATATCGTTAAAGTGTTAAATCCGTGTTATGGAGAAAATGAAATATAGACACTGCGGTAAAAGCGGTGAAAAGAAATCTTTGCTGAAGCGGAAAAAACAATCGCGTTCGCGTTTCGGTTTTAGAGCTACATTGTAGCTGTAACTTCGTGTCGGTTGGCTTCTTAAGAGTTTAACGTGGAAGAGACTGATTCACTGTCGAGGAAAATCGCGTATGACGTGTGTCGATTGCTCGCGAAAATTTTTACGACGAAAATGGTGTGTCGCCGGCGTAAAGTAATATTGATTTTCCCGCCGACTTTACCTCCACCTACGATAATCAATACACATGCTCGAGCAGCTGGCCAGGAAGTGCTGCCATCTGCCTTCCTTCGTTTTCTACTATGCCGATAAAACAGTATTTGATAATAAAAAAAAGATATTTATATAACAGAAATTAAATTGAAATTTTATATCATATAATATCTTAATTAAAATATTTTTTTTAATATAATTAAAATAAAGTAACTTTTTAAAGATATTTTTTAAAAATTACATACAATTGTGAATGAGATTATAAAATTTTATTTTAATTTTATCAAATTGAACAAATTAAATTGTTTGTAAAAATTATATAATTATATTTAAGATTGTAAAATATTGTTTCATTTTTATTTCACAATTTTTTAGCTTTGTGAAACATTAATCATATTTTCAAAATGAAATTCCATGAAATTTAAGTTAAAGAAAATATATAAAGATTATTTGAGTTAATTATATCTAATTAATATCTTCATGAATGATTTTTGAGATTTTTTATTATGATATAAACTCAAGATAAATTGAAATACGTTTGCTCAATGTCAAAGATCATTTGATGCAAATAATAATACAAGATAAATATATGTGTTATCTGTAAATATTCTATTGCATTAATGTATTTTAAGAAAAATAAAATCGTTTAATCGTTTGTTTACATATTCGATACTTTATACCATTATCATGGTATTAAAAGCATTAAAATTTTATATATTTAAATTAAATGTTATTTTTAATTCGAATACTTCATTTTCTAAAATTATTTGATTCAAATTTCCAAAATATAAATCTTAATAATACATCTCATATATTATATATTATCGAAAATTAGAATTAATGCCTTAAGAATTAATTCCATGTGTTAACTATATAATGAGCATTTATCTCCTTTTTCTCTTAATTAAAATTTTTTTTTTTCATTACCGTTTCGCCAATCGAAACCATAATAATTACCGTAATGTCACACGATCATAACAAAAGTAAGTACAATTTGTCCTCTCATTTCTCGAGCCACATCTAACACGTGTAACATTATCATTGACGATCACGTGACGTACTAGTTAACCCTAGTGAAGTAGGCGTATCTCGATAAAGAAAATATCGGCGTGTGAGCGCTAATGTGCGTGTATACTACGTTATACACGTATGTATATATATATACATATACACGGTTGAGCGACGTTGAATCACGCGCACTTTGCATCGACGTAGCCGAAACTGTCGACTTTAAAACGCGCGCCGAAAGCGGATCGAAAACATGCACCTGTGTGTATCGTGCTATGTAGTACTTACGTCTCGGTAACCACCAAGCGTCCAGTTTTCTAGGCCTCGATACCACTAGATCCGGCCACTTGTCCTCCCGTATCGAGTAAGTCGACGGCGATCGCGATACACTTTTCTCATTCTCCTCGGACACTAAGCTACCGGTTAACGATTTCTCGGACGGAGATATTGGCAAACCTTCGCTACTCTCCGCGGCCATGTTTACGTTTTCACTGTACGCTCGCGCGCGCGCTTGCTACCGAATGGCTGGCCTGCGTTCATGCGTTCTCGCGTGCGCTCGCAGTTAGCGATGGGAACGACACTCTTTCAAGTTTTGTAAGATAGTTTATTGTTCTGGATATGAACGTTAGTGTTATTGAAAGTGTTGATAGTCATATTTGTTAAGTTCAATTGATATTCGAGATTACGTAGAAATATCGTCGGTTTGTGTATTCTAACCTGTCATACTACTATCGGTTATCGTGTTTATCTCGTATTATTTTCGTATTATCGATGTGTGTATATATATATAAGTATATGTAAGAATGTGTGCTAATATGCGTGTGTATAATAAATAAAAATATTTATTTCATATTGAAACAGATATTAATATCGATATTAAGTATACAGAAATGAGAATTAGAAATATAAATATTTATTAATATTAATTTATATAACTTTATATTATAATACTATAATACTAAACTATAATACAAATTATAATTTTTCGTTTAATTTTTAATATAAGAACTATAAAATTAAAATTATTTTAAATACTTAAATACTTTACTAAAATACTTTTTCATTTTCAGTATAAATTCTAAATTTTAAATTTTATGGATGGCGATCATCAAGGGATTGTAAAATGTTTCTTATTTAAAGAAATATTGATTATCGTGAAAAATACTTAATTATAAACATTAGTAATATTATGTATTTTATTTTGTGTTTCTTCATTATCATTATTATTATTATATGTATTATTTAATATCATATTTATTTTATAAATTCTCTATTATATTGATATATTTTTATTACAAATATATTTCTATTTTAATCTCTATTTCATAATAAGATTCTATTATCTCTTATATTCTTCCAAACTTAAAAAAATTTAAGTGTCAATTGAATTAATCCCATCACTACTTAATATCTTTATTTCGAATAGAATATCTGTTTCAATGACAATATTACTTGTTGATCGTTAATGGTATAATCAATGGCGAAACATCAACATTAAAATGCGGGAAATATGAATCGTCTTGTCGAAAAAATTGATACATTGATATAAATTAAATGATAACGAGTGTAACAATTAGTTTTATAAATACGATAATTATGGATTAATTTGATTAAATTTCTTTTTTTTTTTTTTTTTGGAAAAATATTCAATACTAATCCATCGAATAAAATGGTTTGAATATATTAATTTTTATACAGGATTCGTCATATTTATGTCAATTCTAAGTTCATTTTCTACTACATTTATGAAATAAATATATTATGAATATAAAATAAAAATAATTATGATTATATTTATCATAACCATACTATTTAATATAATATAACAATTTATATTATACTATATTACACAAAATATATACACTTTTTGTACTAAACTGTAATTTTCTATAAAGAAAATAAAAGATATTATCGTCTTAGCACGTTCAATTCCCACTTTCAAAAAGGAATTGTAATGCCATGTACGTCTCCACTAACCAGTTACGATAAAATGTGTGTTGACGCGTGTGTGGCAAAAGATAACAGTACATCTTCCATGACTTGTACATCTTGTTTGTGACATACATTATCATGTACACGATTTCGTTCTCTCATACGTATTTTTTATATAACTAATTCATTTAAAAAAAATATAAAAAAATGTATGATTGAGAAAAAAAACTACATTAAATTTTTAAATAAAGTTCACACACTTGATTTTAATCAAAATAATTAAGTAATTTATTTAAAAAAAAACTAATAAATGCATAATTATGAGAAAAAAATTCTCTGTAAATCTAAATTCAAGAAACTTTTTAATTCTTAAATAATTAAATCAGATTAACAGATTAAATTACATCAGATTTAAATTCTACATAATAAATTTGTATTTCTAGATTAAAAAAATTAAATCTAGATTTATTTTTATATATTTTATATTATATATTATATTATATAGTATTATATATTTTATATTTTTATATTATATATTATATATTTTATATTATATTATATAGTACATAGAATACAAAAAAAATTAGTTTTCAAAATACATTAAAGCTTAAAATAGCTAAATGTTAAAGAAACACGTTGATTGTGAGTCAAATATTAATTTTAATAAAGTTGATTAATTGGATAAATGTAATATCTACTTTATTCCTTATTGTACATTTTGTAATCAACTAGTATATAAACTCATATTAGTCTCATATATATATATATAATGAGTTAAATATATTATTTATCTAACATGTCAAATTATTTTAAGCAGCAATTTCGATTAAATTTTAATCGAAGGTTAATGTTGCGTTTACACGAAACATAAATTCAATTCTACTTATCGAAATGGAAGGATCTTATATACATATCACGAATCGTTTCATGAAAGAGTAAAGAACAAAATGTCTAATAAACAAGTCAATTCGCATTAACTTTAATACACTATTATTTACAACTAATTACTTATATAAATTATTAAAAAAATCTTTATTCACAAGTCATTATTATAAGTATCGTTAAACTTTTCGAATTCTCTGAATTGCAATATAAAACGTGAAATATATCGTTAATGATAGACATTGGACTTTTACATTTGTGAAACTTAAATTTGAATTTTTATAAAATCATGAAACTTTCGAATCCCAATTCTTACTCTTTTCCTTTATTTTCTTTTTTAAGAAATATTTATTTTATCTTAGTTTAAAATTGTTAAAACAAATTTTAATATCTGAAATATTTTAAATTCGGATTAAACAATAATAATAATTATCGTTTTGTAAAAAATACAATTTTTTAGTTTCATTGCTTTATCCAAATTATTTTAATGAATTGTTGAAATTTATTGAAATTTTCAAGCTTATCAATTAAAATAATTCTAAAATCTAAGCACAGACTTATTTATATTATTATAAATTCGTGTATATAAAAATAAAAAGAATAAATAAATTCATATTATCATATATTACAGTTTCGCAAGTTATACAGATTATCGTTTATCTGAATTTTCAGAATTTTAATTCACAAAAGCATTAAAAGCTGTTAAATTCGTTCGATAACACGAAATATTTGAAATTTCGAAGGGTTTCGAGATTCCAAATGTCCCATTCCTACTTAATAGACTTTGTCTGTGGAATACAAAATACGGAATACATTCTCCCAATTTCTCATCTCATGTTTTTTCATTTAAATTATATAATTTGAATATAAAATTTGAAAAAGGATTAAAATAAGAACATAGATTTTTCTTTTAAATTTATATATAGAATTAATATTATATAACAAACTTAATACAATATAATATAATACTATATATAATACTATAATATAATACTTAATACTTACTAAAACTAAAATATATATTAATTATTAATTGAAAAATTCTATAAAATTCTGTGACAAACAAACTAAATTGTGCAAGTTCACGCTCATCACAATTTCAAAAAATAATTCACAGTATTCATATTAAAGGAATCATTTCAAAAATTATAACTTTCTCTCTCTCTCTCTCTC